GGCTGAATCGCATATATTATATCTTGTTTTAGGGGTGTTTCTTCCAAAAAGTACTGCCCTATTTGCATTTTTGGGGTGGATAGAGTTTGGAGAAAGGATTGTTACCATGCACCAATAGAGTGTAGCATGATTTAGATGTGGGGTCAGAGAGTCCATCCCTTGTTGGTTTGTACCATCCAAGCCAATATTGTTCATCTTGACTCATGACAGGTTTGACTTGGGTCGACATGTATGGCCCCTACGTGGCTCCAGCTCCAGTTCTTAGTGGAGCAGGAAAGTAAATAAAAAAAGTGCTATGTACATGAGTTCTACTATCATTTATCAATGCTTTAGATAATTAATTTTTATTCTTTAACTGTTATTTTACAAGTAAATTTACATACTTGTAAATTTGAACTTGTTAGTATGGAGTGGGGCAAATTTCTAATGAAACATCTAAATAAAAAGAGAAGATTTCCCTTATTTATAAAGCTCCATTCACACATTGACTCAACCTTCTTGCCTTTGTACAAACCAAATTCAGTCCTAAAACGAACCCTAACTATGGAATTGTACAGATCTCATCCAACAATCAAAAAATAATATACATACAAATATGAAGAAAAAAAAAGTTTTGATAAGTACATTTTGATGCATTGATATGTATGGAGGTGGACTATGCCATAACGTATATTGCGTACTTATGTTTATAGTCACACATTTAGGACAATTTTAAGGCGTTAGCTTTTTATGATACTGACAGTTATTTTCTAAAACTGGAGAGTGCAAAATCTGTGGCAGCTCTGCACAGAAACCAATCAGCTTCCATGATTTATTGCCAAAGCTTAACTGAACAAGCTGAAGTTAGAAGCTGATTGGCTACTATACATAGCTGCACCAAATTGTGAGTGCACCAGTTTTAGCAAATCCCCCCCATTGTGTCCTTCTTTCTGGACTTGAAAAGGTATAATAGGCATAGATGTTGGGGAGATAGATTATAGATTTCTTCTAAAACCAATTTTGTAAGCTTTTAAAATTCACTGTGGCCTTTATATGTTGAGTGCATTCCTCCATCAAGAATTATTGTTTAATATACACTATTGGCCACTGCAATGGGGATGATTTACTGAAACTGGAGAGTGCAAAATCTGGTGCAGATGTGTATAGAAACCAATCAGTTTACTGCTTTTATTATCAAAGCACTCTCCAGTTTCAGTAAATCAAAACCAATATGTTTCCCATCTGAAGCAATAGAGGTTGGAGTTTATGTACAACAATACAGTAGAAGAGGTTCGTTTTATGGATATATTGATACATAATATTGAACAGTATATATTAAAAAAAGTTTAACATTTTGTATGAATAAAAACAAATTTCTAAAGGGATTCAACTCCAGTCTTTTTCTTCAAATTTGTTTTTTTTTTTGATTGCTGGATTAGGACCATGGAAGTTCAAAATCGGGGACCTTTTCAGGATGTAATAATTTTCTTTATTATATTTATAAAAACTAAAGCAAAAAGGCAAAGTTGATGTTACATCAACCATCTCAGTTCCTGCTGTATTTTTTTTTTCTAGTGCATGTTGTAAAGGGAAAACTGACCCCTGATTTGCTGCTACAGCCCGTTTATGCCCCCAGAATCAGGATTTTGTAGATGATTCCCATTAACACCAAACTATGGGGTAAAGATAGTTGTACTATAATGAGAATCATTTCTTTGAGTTCAGAGGAACCTTGATTATCTCTGCTTATGGAGTTAAGCCTGGTACACATGAAGAGGATATCTGACTGATCATCCGTTTTTTGTTTGCATGTTAGTCTCATTTCCAAAATAAAGAGTTTACTAAATTTATGAAAATTCTTGTACAACAAAAAGAAAGTCTGGAAGTGATGTAATGTGTAGTATTGAATTGTAATGTATTCTTTTATTACAATACAATACTACACATACAATACTACACAATCTTCTCTTTGGGAACACCCACTCTCTGAGAGTGGGTGTTCTCAAAGAGAAGATTGTGTACCAATAATGAGAGTGGTTATATGGAACACAAATAATAAAGGCTCCAATATAATTCCACATTATAAGAGCATGGTCTTTCTCTTCTGATTTTTTTTGGGACGAATACTGTACTGATTAAACAAAAATTGTACGTTCTGGTATTGTAAAAAAAAAAAAAAAACATTTTGTGTTAATTTTGGACGAAAGCTGTGTACTAACAACCAGATTATCTGACGATCGCTTCAAAAGCGGTATTTTTTGTACAATTTTCTAACTGCGTACTAGGCTTTAGCACAAATTTATATAATTGAAAATATGAAGAATCATAGTTATGTTTAAGCGTGGAAAGAATTACATGCCCAAGAATTGAATTGCGTTCTATTCTCTGAGAGAGTGGGTGTTCCCAAAGAGAAGATTGTGTACAAATAATGAGAGTGGTTATATGGAACACAAATAATAAAGGCTCCACTATAATTCCACATTATAAGAACGTGGTCTTGCTCTACCGATTTTTTTGGGACGAATACTGTACTGATTAAACAAAAATTGTATGATCTGGTATTGTAAAAAAAAAACATTTTGTGTTAATTTTGGACTAAAGCTGTGTACTAACAATCAGATTATCATACGGTCGCTTCAAAAGCGGTATTTTTTGTACAATTTTCTGATTGTGTGTACTAGGCTTTAGCACAAAGTTAGATGATTGAAAATATGAAGAATCATAGTTATGTTTAAGCATGGAAAGAATTACATGCCCAAGAATTCAATTACGTTATATTCTCTGAGAGTGGGTGTTCCCAAAGAGTAGATTGTGTACAAATAATGAGAGTGGTTATATGGAACACAAATAATAAAGGCTCCACTATAATTCCACATTATAAGAACGTTGGGTGTTAGACTGTTATTATCAAAGAACAAAGAATGCCAAAAAAATTTAAAATTGTGTAACACCAGCTGAAATAATAATAATTATTTTTTATTATTATTACAAGGAAAAACAACAGTTTTTATTATTATCATTAGAGATGAGCGAATCGAACATGACGAAGTGGAATTCGTTTCGAATATTAGGAAAAATTCGATTCGTGCCGAATCCGAAAATTAGCAAACTTCGGATGCACGAATCGAATTTTCCCCGATCGGCCGATTTTCATCCCTTCTACAGCCGGCAAAAAGTGTCCCTGCAGAGAGCTCCGCTATTTCTGACAGTTCTCTGACAGTTCCTTCACATTTACAGCAGTTGAAACATTGTATCTATTTGTTTCCATTTAGGATACAGATGTTTTTATTCGGAAACAAATAGATACAATGTTTCAACCGCTGTAAATGTGAAGGAACTGTCAGAGAACTGTCAAAAATAGTGGGAGCTCTCTGCAGATACACTTTTTGCTAGACTGGAATTCTTCTTATTTTCATCCTACTTCTTCTTCTTCTTCTTCATCCTCATCCTCTTCTTCTTCTTCTTCTTCATCCTCATCCTCTTCTTCTTCTTCATCCTCATCCTCTTCCTCTTCTTCTTCTTCTTCTTCATCATCCTCATCCTCTTCTTCATCCTCATTCTCTTCTTCTTCATCCTCATCCTCTTCTTCTTCATCCTCATCCTCCTCTTCTTCTTCTTCTTCTTCTTCTTCTTCTTCATCATCCTCATCATCCTCTTCCTCTTCTTCTTCTTCTTCTTCCTCACCATCATCCTCTTCTTCTTCTTCATCCTCATCCTCTTCTTCATCCTCATCCTCTTCTTCTTCTTCTTCTTCATCCTCATCCTCTTCTTCTTCATCATCCTCATCCTCTTCTTCTTCTTCTTCTTCTTCTTCATCACCATCCTCTTCTTCTTCATCATCCTCATCCTCTTCTTCTTCTTCCTCATCCTCTTCTTCTTCTTCTTCATCCTCATCCTCTTCTTCTTCTTCATCCTCATCCTCTTCTTCTTCTTCTTCTTCATCCTCATCCTCCTCTTCTTCTTCTTCTTTTCTTCATCATCCTCATCCTCTTCTTCTTCTTCTTCTTCTTCTTCCTCACCATCATCCTCTTCTTCTTCTTCATCCTCATCCTCTTCTTCATCCTCATCCTCTTCTTCATCCTCATCCTCTTCTTCTTCTTCTTCCTCATCCTCATCCTCTTCTTCTTCTTCTTCATCCTCATCCTCTTCTTCTTCTTCTTCTTCTTCATCCTCATCCTCTTCTTCTTCTTCTTCATCTCTCATCTTCTCTTCTTCTTCTTCTTCTTCTTCTTCCTCTTCCTCATCCTCTTCTTTTTCATCTCTCTTCTTCCTCTTCTTCTTCTTCATCCTCTTCCTCTTCTTCTTTTTCTTCTTTTTGTCTTCCTCTTGCAGGTCACTGCTCATGCGCAGATTTTTTTATCGGCAAAAAATCGTCCGATTTGCCCACTATTGCCGCGAAAATCGGCCGATCGGCAAAATCGGCCGATTTTTTTTCCAACTTTACAGAAAAAAAAAACGGCCAAAATACCGAAAAACGGCCGACCAAATAGCCCACTAACGATCCGAAAATCGGCCGATTTTATTTTCGGCCGAAAAGTCGGCCGATTTTCGACCCATCTATGGCCTGCATTAGGGCCACAGAGACTTTAGGGCCACAGAATCGTTACTCAGGGACACAGAATCGTTACTCAGGGACACAGAATTGTTACTCAGGGACACAGAATCGTTACTCAGGGACACAGAATCGTTACTCAGGGACACAGAATCGTTACTTAGGGCCACAGCTATCAAAGAATTGAAAATTTAAAGTGACATACACCCTTTTTTTTTTTGGTGGCTGTTGTGCACAGTTGGTGCTGCAGTTTGCCGATTGTGCAAAATAAACTGACTTTCTGCTTCACAACCACTATTGTACGTTCAAAGAGTTAAATCCATTTACACGCCGGCTGGCGGTAATATTTTTTGGGTGATTAGTGCATTCCAGTGACAGAAACGTACAGTTTCCAGCCAACGGCAAGCTGCAATTGACCGATTGTGCTAAATAAACTGACTTTCTGCTTCACAACCACTATTGGCCTTCAATTGAAGCTGCTTCCGCTCCGCCACTCTGCCATTGGACTCTTGATAGTCGTCTCCCCACGCTGCTGCTGGGGGGACTTTTTAACATAGGCCTTCAATTTAAGCTGCTTACGCTTCGCCACTCTGCCATGGGCCCCTGTACCGCCTCCTCATGCTGCTGCCAGGTCCAGAGTGTGTCATGGGTCCCTGTACGGCCTCCCATTGCTGCTGTCTCCATCGCCACACTCTGCCATGTGCCACTTTCAGGTCTCCTCACACTGCTGGTGGGTTCCATTTTGTCATAGGGTGCTGTATGGTCTCCCATTGCTGCTGCCTCCACCGCCACACTGTGGCTCCACACTCTGGTTTTGGCCCTGTGACTGCCCAAATGAGTGAAGTGTGCGGTGATTCTAAGATCGACGGCACTCATCTGCATGTCATACTGACTGACAGTATTATTTCTCTTCCCCAGCAGACTCCAAGGGCATTTAAATTAAAGGTACAGTGTTCTGCACTAATATAAAGGCTCTCTGAAGCCTAGAAACCCTTTTAATAAGTTAAATTCGCAGCGAATAAATTCGCAGCGAATCGAATTTATTCCGCAAATTCGGCGAATCAGCCGAATCGAATTTTTGAATAATTCGCTCATCTCTAATTATCATCATCATCATAAAACACCTCCCTTCATGTTTTGCTGACAACAGTGAGGAAAAATCTGCTACAGGAACAGAGACAGAAATTAAAAAAATCTGATAGGGGTTCCAGCCCTTCAAGACTCTACTAAAAATAATTTGTATATCTGGCTGTGTGGCTGTTGCAGTTTTTCCTTCATATTATTTTTTTTGGTAAAATGTTGTCCTAATGGAGCCCTGGATAGCAATAAACATCTGATAGGGGTTCTAATCTTTCCACCCCTCTAGAAACAAGAAAAAAAATGTTTTTGGCTTGATGTACACTTAAATCTGAATCCCAGTATTGAATCTTTAGTATTGCAATGCTGTACCTGCTGCCATCATGTACTGAAATTGCTTATTCTGATCTTGCTGCACACTGTAAGCGTCTAACAACGTGCATTACAAACTGCATCAAATAACACTAAAGCTGGGTCTCACACGGGCTGAAAATCGGCCAGAAATGGTTGTTCGGCAGGAAGCCCGGCTTCTGAATAGCGGGCATGCTGGAAAACCAGGACAAGACTGGCATCTGATCATCGCTGACCAGTGTGTTCTGGTGAAAGGCAAAGGAGTCCCCCTGTCAGACCAAAAAAGGCACAGTGGGGTGAGATTGCCGCTCTGACATTGCTTGTGTTATTATGGCAATCTCTCATTTTTTTTTTCATTCAGCCCACTGGGTTTAATGCAACAAAACCTCTCATGTGTACCCCACAACAGACAGCCTCATTTCCTGGCTGAATGACACCCAGCATTATCTATCCATGCTCCCTCAAGCACCACAACATGCAAGTATGTTGCACTATGAGAGCCCCCTTGGGTGCACAATGGTGCGATCTGCATCCACCGTGTCCACCAAACACAGTGAATTGCAGTGCTTGGTATCAGGCTGCTCTGGCTGGCCCAGATAGCACATGATCGCTGTACAATCACATGTCCCATAGTAAACAATAATCATTAATGAAATCCATTTGTGACCTCATTGTTTACTACAGCATGTGATCTATGATTGGTCACCAGTGATCACGTTGTACCCGGGCCAATTACAGCATTATGATAGCAAACAATGAGTCATGGATGAAACCGAACTGAAGAAAAGTCATCAACACACCGAGGATTCCTCAAAATCGGTTCAGTGTCTTATTTCGTGGTTGCATGATAAACACAAGGCAACATTGCCTTGCGTTTATCATGTGACTATGAAATAAGGCCGCGGACCTGGTGACATTTCTTCACTTATATTGTCCACAGTTCCCAGCTTGTGGTCACTACAGCACCCAAAAATACTGAATATCTGCAGAAATATGTGCGTTAGGAATATTGCATTAGGACATGAATGAAAGCCATTGTGATGATGAGTGATGATTGCTGTTACAGTGATCATCACTATAACAAGCAATCACAGTGCATACAAAAAAAAAATAAACCACTGATCAGCCCCCAGAGTAGTACAGTGCCACTGAACTACTCTGATAACTGTACTGTAAGTAAAAAAAGAAAAAAAAATGTAAAAAAAAAGAAACATTTTTTAAAAATCCTGAATAAAAAAAAAATTTACATTTTTTTTTTTTTGGTCACCAGTCAGTATCGCTGATCACTGCTACATCAGTATGATGACACTGTACTGTATTATTTACAGAATGTACAAAAAAAAGTGAAAAAAAATATTTAATTTCCTAATTTTTCTACTAATTATGACATAAGATCACAACTTCAAAAACTCTCAATGCCTCCTAACTTAATATCTTGGACTGTCTGCTTTCCAAAAAGGGGTCATTGGTACTGTCCAGACATTTTGAGGCCTCAGGATTGATCAATTTTTAAATGTATATATATATATATATATATATATATATATATATATATACACAGTATATCATAATTTGTGGACGGTATACCTTTCACACAGACTAAATAATATACACTGATTTGGGTTGTTTTGATACAAGAAATGTAGCAGACTACAGTTTGGCCTAAATTTATGAAGAAAGATTATTTGTTGGCAAAATGCTTTAACAGAAACTAAGAAAAACTTGATTTTTCAAACTTTTCAATATTTCTTTGTTTATATATTAAAAAAGTGAAAAACCCAGTGGTGATTAAATACCACCAAACGAAATGTCTATTTGTGTGAAAACATTATTTAGATTTCATTTGGGTACAGTGTTGCACGACCGAGCAATTGCCTGTTGACCATTTTCCCTCCAGAGGATATGTCAACTTCTTGTGACATATCACATGTGACATTCTATCAGAATCTTTGGCGCGGATCACCATGTGCAAGGTTAACCACTTGCCCTCCAGGAGATTTTGCTCCCTTCCTGACCAAGCCATTTTTTGCGATACGGCATTGCATTACTTTAACTGACAATTGCGTGATCATGCAACACTTCACCCAAATTAAATTTATGTCCTTTTTTTCCCACAAATGGAGCTTTCTTTCGGTTGTATTTGATTGCCTGTTCGTTTTTATTTTTTGCGCTATAAACAAAAAAAACCCGTCAATTTTGAGAAAAAAAATTTTTTTTTGACTTTTTACTATTATTATCCAGTAAAAAAAATTTAAAATATAAAATTTCGTCATACATTTAGGCCAAAATGTATCCTGCTACATGTCTTTGCTTAAAAAAATCCCAATATGTGTAAATTAATTGGTTTACGTGAAAGTTACAGCATCTACAAATGGTGGTAAATATACTGGAATTTGAATTCAGTGGCCATTCTTACACTGGGGGGAGCTGACTAACTGTCACTGACATCCCCAGTGACACCAATACAGTGGAAGGTGAAACAGGAAGGCTTTATGTTTCACCTTCTTCTGCACAGATTTTGTCTCCACTTTTTAGAAGTGCTGCTCAGTACTGATTTCCCTACACACCATCCATCATCAGCTGCCATACTTCCACAGCATAGTCCACCGACGCGCCCTGCTACCCACTTTACACCTATACAGTGATCTTTGCTAATAGAAAGCACTGACACTGTGCTAATGACACTGGGCAGGAAGGGGTTAACATATATGGCGATCAAAGGGTTAACTGTGTGCTGTGTGTGTTTTACTGTGTGCTGTGTGCGTGTTTCACTGTGTAAGTGCGCTGCTTTGTATGGCTCGGCTATGTAGAGCCATAAAAAGCAGTGTGCAGGAGCTGACAGGGGAGAGATCTGTATTGTTTACATGCAGACCTCTCCCCCATCAGTGATGCTCAAAGATCGCCCGGGTGCCGACAGGGAATCACTGGTCGGGGCCTGGTGATGCACAGCTGAGGCCACCAATGGCAGCACAGTTAGGGCGCGCACGTGCCCCAGACCCGGAAATGCGAAATCACGTATATATATATATATATATGCGTGATTTTGCACAGCCCTGCATCCTGTAGCAGTATTTCTGCTATAGGGCGGCGGGGAAAGCGGTTAAAGTAGCGCAGTGCTGAATAGCAAAAAAATTGCCCTGAACATGAAGGGGGTAAAATCTTCTGGAGGTCAAGTAGTTAAAGATTTCATTAGCCTTTTTGTTATGGGGGGGGGGGGATGAAGAAGCAGAGAAAGTAAAATATATGCAGGTTAAAATTTAGCTTTAAGAGCAAAGTATCCATATTGCTTTAAAAAGACTGTACCTAACATTTGAGAGTTATTATAATAACTAAGCGTGCATTGAAATTGTTAAAGGGCCTTTGCTGCTTTGTAAAATAAGTATTAAAATTAAGCCCCTCGAATTTAGTTTAACACCTCCAATGGATATAAGGATTCCTAATATATGACAATTATTAGGACTTTGTACAAGTCTATGGGTATAAATTGTGTGCATGTATATGTTGTATATATATTATATTTATTATATATATTGTATGATATGTGTTGTATGTGCAGTATGTATATTGTATGTGTATTTACATGTGGAAATGTATTCCTCTCTACTTTTTATTTCATTTAACTGTAATTTCTTTTCCTCTTTATTGATGTCATAAGAGGTAGGGATGCTCCCTTTATAAAGCTTTATCTCTCTGAGAGCCCAAAAGTAATGAGATGAGCATTGCTGCTCTATGTGCTCCCCCTTTCCCTGCCAAAACTGGCTGCTCTCTGGCAGTAAAATAAAACATCAGGGGTCTAAATGGACATAACAGACCAGAGATCAGAGCCTCCATCTGTTCTCTCTACGGCTGACGCTGATTGCAAACCTGGAAATGCTCAGCACCAAATATTCCGTCCTTAACATCCCAATGGTCCCACCATGAATGAGAGCTCTGGGACCAGTACTTTGCACAGCACTGAGGATGCCACTAGCAGATGTCAGTTCACATCTATGTTTCCAGCATGGATGGCGGGGATATGTCGCTTGAGCAGCAGACATGAGCTTGTATTAAGTCACAGGGCTGTAAATTTAAAGCTTTGTTAAACCTCAAACCAAAAATGTAATACCACTTCAGTCCCAAGTCATTTCTGGCACTTTTTGTTTACATTTCTAAATCAGTATTTTTTACTAGAAAACATCTTAGAACCCCAAAATCATTATATATATTTTTAAAGCAGAGGCCATAGAGAATAAATTGGTGGTTTTTGCATTTTTTTTATGCCACATGGTATTTGCGCAGTGGTTTTTCAAACACAATTTGTGGGAAAAAATACACCTTTTTTTACTTTTATTGCAATAAAACACAATACATAACCCAATATTAGTGAAATATAAAAG